TCCTGCAGACCCCTCCCAGAAGAGACAGGGATGGAGTCACTGGGAAGCCCCACAGAAGACGAGAACACATCCTGTAAGTACCACCCTGCCCCCTCCACGATCCAAAGGGGAATGGCAGCAGTCAGGGAGACACTTCCCTTGGATTAGCCACAAAAATTCCTGGGGGGAGGGGGAAAAGAAAGCAAGCAGAGATTTGAATCCCCTAATTGAATCTCCTGGGGGAGGAAATAGGGATCTCACAAGAAATAGGGATCTCACAAGAAATAGGGATCTCACAAGAAATAGGGATCTCACAAGAAACAGGGATCTCACACGGGCACTTCCATCCAGCCACTCCCAGTGCCTCCCAGTCCCTGATCCACCACCCAGCCCAGAACCTGGGATATCCATGAGGAAGCACGAAGGATCCAGGACCAGGACAACCTGTCAGTTGTTTTCCTTTTAACTCCAGCTCCCCCCAATACTTTAAATTTTAACGGGGCGCATCGTAAGCGGAAGACACTTGTTGCACCTGAAATCAACATTTCCCTGGACCAGAGTGAAGGCTCCATCCTCTCTGATGACTTCCTGGACACTCCAGACGACCTGGATATTAATGTGGATGATATTGAAACACCTGATGAGACAGATTCCCTCGAATTCCTGGGCAACGGGAACGAACTGGAATGGGAAGGTAAAAAGGGCTGGTTCTGTGTGAGTTTTGCACGGGCTGGGGTGGTTTTTTAGCCTCATTTTGATGACTTTTGACACAATTCACCATCAGCAGTGGAGGGTTGACAAGGAAAAGGAGATTTTAAGCTTATTTGTGTAACATTTTGGCAACAGAGCAGGATTATTAAGCACCACAAACTTGCACAGGTCAGAGCTGCGGGTGGAACGCGATCCGAGCACCATCCCCGGGGTTCTTGTCTCCAAAGCCTCTCCCTGCATTAGATTAAAGGCAGATCTGTCCCTTTTCCAGATGACACTCCCGTAGCCACGGCCAAGAACATGCCTGGGGACAGTGCAGACCTGTTTGGGGACGGGGGGACAGAGGATGGCAGTGCCACCAACGGCCGGCTCTGGAGGACCGTCATCATCGGGGAGCAGGAGCACAGGATCGACCTCCAGATGATCAAACCCTACATGAGAGTGGTGACACACGGAGGTGAGAGAGGTCCTGCCTCGGGGTGGGGGGTCTCTGTCAAGGATTCCAGGACTGTTTGGTTCCCATTCACAGGAAAATTTGCTGTTTGTTTTGTGAAGTTACACATAAGAAGCAAAAAGAGCCCGGTCTGTGCTAAAAACTGCTCTAAAAAGGGTCTGAAAATGTAGTTGCTGCAGGGGGGTTTGAATTGACAGAGAGAGGGGCTGTTCCCAACCCTCAGGCCTGGTGTGGGCAGTGATGAAGGGCCTGGGGGGGTTGAACTCCTCCAGCTTGGTGCCTGAGCTGCTCCAGAGGGACAGCAAAGGTTGACAGAGCACAGTCAGTGCTCTTTCCAAAATCCAAGCAAAGCCAAGGAACAACCCAGCTCTGACACCCCCAAATTCCTTCCCTGAACGCCAAACACAGGTTACAGCCCAAACCAGGAGGAAACCTCCTGGTGAAGGAGGTCCAAAGAGGGACAAAGCTCACCTGGAGCTGGACAGAGACATAAAAACCGCCCCGGGCCCAAATTTGACAACACAACCTCCTTCTGTTTTACCCTCAGCTCTTACATCTTTCCCTGGAAAACCTCACAGTGTTGCCTGTGTTTTTCTTTGCCAGGATACTACGGAGAAGGTCTCAATGCCATCATTGTCTTTGCTGCCTGTTACCTCCCCGACAGCAACCTGGCTGATTACCACTACATCATGGAAAACCTCTTCCTGTGAGTGGCTGGGAGGGAGAGGAGGGTGAGGGAAGCATCTCCAGGGTTTCCCTGCACTCGTTGCATCAGGGACATCAGCTGGGAATAGTCTGAATCCAGGCCAAACATCCCCAGTGTGCAGCTGCAGAGCGGGGTGAGCGTCGCTGGCCCCGGCCCCGAGTCCAATAAGTCAAAGCATTCAAACATTCCGGGTTAATGATGCCAGTGATGGACTCACATCCAGGCTGGAGCACGTGTGGGATGTTCAGCAGCTGGGAGAGAACAGGGCTGGGGTGTCCATCAGTGCCTGAGCTGCACTGACACATCCCCGGGCACCCCTCAGAGGCGCCGGGAGAATCCAAACCTCTTCCAAGGCCTGCAAACAAAAAGTCTGGGAGGCATTTCGGGGTGAGACACTTGAGGAAAGCTCCAGGGTGGCTTTTTAACAGTCTCTTGTCCCTTTTGCTCACCCGACAGGTACGTGATCAGCAGCCTGGAGCTGCTGGTGGCTGAGGATTACATGATCGTGTACCTGAACGGGGCGACGCCCCGGCGGAGGATGCCGGGCCTGGGCTGGCTCAAGAAATGCTACCAGATGATCGACAGAAGGTGGGAACCCTGCTGGGGTGGCCTCTTCCTTCTTCCCAGGCTTCTCCCCACACAGAATCCAAAAACAGTTTGGGTTGGAAGGACCTTAAAGTTCATCCAGTTCCACCCCCTGCCATGGGCAGGGACACCTTCCACCAGCCCAGGGTGCTCCAACCTGGCCTTGGACACTTCCAGGGATGGGGCAGCCACAGCTTCTCTTGGGCAACCTGTGCCAGGGCCTCCCCACCCACACATCTCTTCCTCTGCTTCTTCACAGCACTCCCAGCTGACTCTCCTCTTTTCTCACTCCCCAGAGGCTGTAATTCCTTCCTCTATCCCAAATTTCTGACTTCCTCCAGGCTCTCCTCCTGCCCTCTGCCCCCCTCCTTCCTCACGAGCCCCTTGGCAGAGCTCAGGCTGGCACAGCCCCAGAGCAGAGCAGTGTCCTGCAGCCTCTGGGCCGGGCTGGGCTTCCTGAAGGGCGTGGAGAGTTTAGGGAATGTCCTCTGGATTTGACTCCGTGCCTTGCCTTCTCCCCAGGCTCCGTAAAAACCTCAAAGCCCTGATCATCGTGCACCCGTCGTGGTTCATCCGGACGGTGCTGGCGATATCCAGACCCTTCATCAGGTGAGCAGAACGTTCCCAGGCTCAGCTGGCTTTGGAGTGGAAGTTTGGAATCACGGGATCCTGGAATACTCTGAGTTGAGAGGCTGCCACAAGGATCATTAGTTCAACTCCTGGCCCTGCACAGACATCCCAGCAATCCCACCCTGTCCCTCAGAGCGTTGTCCAAACCCTCCTGGAGCTCTGGCAGCCTTGGGGCAGTGCCCACTGCCCTGGAGAGCCTGGGCAGTGCCCAACCACCCTCTGGGGAGGAAGAACCTTTCCCTGAGATCCATCCTAAATCCCCCCTGACACAGCTTCGTGATGTTCCCCTGGCTTTAATCTCACAAATCAGATTTTAAGCTCATCTTTAGGCCAGGAGCAGCCAAGGTGAGGCTGTTCCTCCCTTGTCCTTCTCTCTGACACTTCCACAGACGACTCCAGAGGTGGTTTTGGGAGACACTGGGGTGGTCTGGACCCAGAGCAGAGTTTGTCCCAGTGGGTAGGGCGTGAGGATTTGCTGGGAAGTGAGGGAATGGTGTCCTTTTTGCCTCCTGCAGATATTGGGAGGAGCAGTAATGTGGGGTCTCACCACAGCTTTTAGACTCCCCCCCTGGCTTTTAGGGGGGAGGTGGGCAAAGGTGCAGAGGTTCCATCAGGAAAACCCTGATTTCCTGTGAAGGGAACATCACTCCAGGGCCTCCTTGGTGCACTGTTTCTCTCTCCCTGCCAGTGTGAAGTTTATCAATAAGATCCAGTACGTCCACACCCTGGAGGAGCTGGAGCAGCTCATCCCCATGGAGCACGTGCAGATCCCAGACTGTGTCCTACAGTGAGTGCCAGAGGGGCCCTGGGGCAGCTCTGGGGAGGGGCAGGACAGACATCCCACCTTGTGTTGAGTCAAAATCCACGGATTTGCCTGGGGCAAACCTTGTCTCATTCATGTCTCACACTGTGCCAGCACAGAGCTCCTGTCACCTTCAGAGCAAACATCGAATTTTGCCAAGAGTGAACAATCTCCATTTAAAGAACATTTCCTCTTTCTTGCAGATATGAGGAAGAGAGGATCAAGGCCAGAAAAGAAAGGTAAAATTAATTTTTAGGGGGGTAGGGTGGAGAGTGGGTTCATTTTCTTGGGGGGTTGTTGCTTTCTCCCATCACTATTTGTGTTATAACCAGTAAGTTCCACGTTCCTCCCACCCCGAGATCCTGCACTGATTTTCTCTGAGTCAGTAAAAGCTGGAGGAGGGAGAAGCTTGATTAAAAGGTTATTATTTATCCATAGATTAGAAGGCTATTTATCCACAGAACCTCTGAACCCCACACATCTTCATCACACGCTGTCTGTGCTCCCAAAGGTCATCAGACACCCCTCTCTGTATAAAACGGGCACATTATCCCTATTTGAGCAGCAAACTGACCCTAAAGTGAGCCCTTGTGCTTGTTTTAAAAGCCACTTCATCCCTTGTGGAGTGGCATGAAGAGGGACTTCAGTTTGTGCAGTTTGTTTGGTTTCATTTTCCAGACCTGCTCCCTCCCCGGTGCTTTGGGGTCAGAAGTGCTGCTGGGAGGGCTGGGCATGAGCAGGGATGATTCCAGGGAAAACAAGAGGCAGAGAAGGAGAGAGGAAAGACCCAGTGGGTCAGCACAGGTGCCTCAACCCCTCCTGGTGCTGGTGCCTGAGTGGGAGATGCCAGTTTGGGAGGATTGAGTTGTCCAGCCCAGCTCCTGGAGCACGAGGGCCACCAGGGCTGGGGGTTCCAGGGACTGGAGACCATTGTTGACCTCTCCAAGGTCCATCCATCACCCCAGAAGGGCCCTGGATTCTCCTCTCCATCACCCCAGAAGGGCCCTGGATTCTCCTCTCCATCACCCCAGAAGGGCCCTGGATTCTCCCCTCCTTCCCACTGTTCACCTCGGGGCGATGATTCCAAAGGTGATTTGTGTTTACAGGGCAGAAGAGAAACAAGACATGGCCGAGAGGGAAAGGTAAGGACTCTGTTTGATTTATCCCTCAGCTCAAACAGTGTCTGGGGGTGGGAACAGCCCCACGGATTGGGAACACCCCCAGGAGATGGTTGGATCCAACAGGACATTCCCAACGTGTTCAGGAGCTGGTAAAGCCTCTCCTCTCCCGGGCAGCTCCGGGTGCCACCAGCACTGTGGTGTCCCCGACCTTCACCTCTGCCAGCGGGTTCCTGACCCTGCTCCGTGCAGGGAGTGATCCCAGAGCTGAGCCAGAGGCCCTGGGAATGCTCTCCTGACGTTCAGGGGGAGCATTTGCAGGGTGGAGCAATGCAGAGGGTTCAAATGCTGCTGCTGCTGCTGCTGCTGGACACGTCTCCCTGTGGGCACAGGGGGCAGAGCCGGGGCTGTAACTTGAGATGGGAAAGAAAATTCTAGAGGGGTTTGGAAGGGCAGTGCCAAAATCCTACACCAGGAGAATCTGGCCTGGTTTTGGCTCTGCTTCAGAGCGATGCAGCCTCTCTTTTCATTCTGTTTGACTCTCCTGAGGGGGGAACGGGGAATATTCCTGCTGTTTTCCCAGAGAAAAAGGAGTTTTGACCATTGAATCGTTCTGAGAAATAAGAGGAGCTCAGGGCAAAGAGAGGGGCACTGGTTTGTGGAGGAGATTCACTCACTGTTGTGCTGGTTCTCTTCCCAGCAGGCCTGTGCCTCCAGGAGAGGATCAAGAAACCAGGTTTGAGCTGGATGGATCTCCCCCTTTGTTTGTCTCTGTGACAGATTTCCTGGCATTTGTAATCCATGAACAAGAAAGCCCAGCCTGAGTTAGACCCAGGATCCGTCCCCCTGGTGCCACTCCTGGGCACCCAATGGGCCCCTCTGCCCGTTAAAGCCACAAAATGCCTCATGTTTGTCCCCAGGACAGTTTTGTAAATGATTACACCCAAATTTACCCCAATTTTGTTGTGGTGGGAATAATAAAAAATTTTTACCTCAGTTTGCTGCCTAAAAATAACTCCTGTCTCTCTCTGTTCCTTCCCAGTATGTCCTGAATGGGAGCAGGAGGTGGATGGATGGAGTGGAAGGACACAGCCTGGCAGCCACCCACGGCAATGACCTTTGGGGACAAAACCTTGTCACCATCTTATTCCAAGTCCTGTAAGATCCCAGAGCCTGCCTCCTCTGTCTCCAAGATGCAAAGCTCTTTAACCTTTTTTTGGAAACATTTTACCTTAAAAAAAAAAAAAAAAGAAGAAGAAGAAGGACAACAATCAAACAAACAAAAAACCACCCCACGAAACAAAGCAGGCCAAGAAAAGCACTTTTCAGGACAGGTTCTGGCGTGTTTCTGGAATGGTCTGTGGAGAGCTGTGACACAGTGCAAATACACACCTTGTAGTAAGTTAAGAGCACCCTCTAATCCATTAGTCCCCAGCCCAGAAAGAGATTTATTTTGTTGGTTAAATTATAAACCCACCTGAACTCGCTGCTGGCCAGCGCGGAGACGGTTTTGCTTTAAAGCTGCACCCCCAGGTTCCTCCCCAGCAGCCCGAGAGCCCAGGGAATAACTAATACAGGCAATGAAAAGAGCTTTTCCCTCCTTTTTATAGCCAGTGTGTGTTTCTTCCTGAAAATACCAAGTGCCCACCAGCCTTGGCTGTCCCAGTGAAGTCGTTGCCAGCTCCTCAATCCTCATTCCCGGGAGGAAATGCCACGTTTTGGGGTTGGGTTTTTTTTCCCTGATTTGTTCTATTCCGGTGTGTAAGGCACTCTGGGAGCTCTGAAGGAGTCCCCCCATGGAATGGCAGCCTCCACAGAACCTTCCTGGGAGCATCTTCTCCACGCACATCCCAAAAAAGGTCTGGGTTCGGGAGGAGCCCCGCGGACGGGAACGGTTTCCACGCCTCGTCTTCGTCTGGATGTCACGGCCCTGGACAATCACTCCCTGTCAGATACCTCCCACTGCAGAGACAAGCTGCTAAAATGTTGGAAGTTTCCCTCCTGAAGGCCCTCATCCATCAGCATTCCTGCCTGGAATATCCCACCCCACGGGACCGGGTCCAGCTTCCGTGGCCGAGAGGTGCAGGTGTGACGTTGACTCCGGAAATTTGGATCTGGGAACTCGTGAGGATCCTGTGAGCAAAGGAGGGAGGGAAAAGTAAATTAAGGAACAACCCTCTGGCCAAAATTATTTGGAAGTTACTTCACCAGACCCAGGTTACATCCCCATCCCTGGGAGTGTCCAAAGCCAGGTTGGAGAAACCTGGGATAGCGAAAGGTGTCCCTGCCCATGGCAGGGGGTGGGACTGGATGAGTTTAAGGTCCCTTCCAACCCAACCCATCCTGGGATTCTGGGATCAGGTAAAACCCCTCCCAGACACCTGCAGATGGAGAATCACCTGCCTGTTTCACCACTTAGAGAATATTTCCAGGAGAATTCTGGCCGAGCAAGATTTCCCTCAAGACAGGGACGGATCCCTCTGGATACACAAAGCTGCTCTTTTTTTTTTCCTTTCACTGAGTAAAACCACCACGGGGTGAGATCTTTATTTCCCTGAATGCTACAAAGAAGCACCAAATATATCCTTCTTAAGGTTAGTTCTCCTTTGAGACCCGTCCTCGTGCTGGATGTATTTGCTGACCAGACCTTTGCATGAAAAGCAGAGCACCCACAGCACCCACCCAGGATGGGTGAAGATGGAAAAAAACCTCCCCATTCCATCTCACTGGCATGTTAATAACAAGCACCAAACAAGCAGCGAGCTCCACAGCTTTCTGGAAACATCATTTTAAATTTATTTATTATTATTATTATTTTTATTATTATTATTGTTGTTATTGTTATCGACAAAGGATTTCAAGGCCAGGTTGGAGCAACCTGCTCATGGAACTGGATGAGCTTTAAGGTCCCTCCCAAACCCAAACCCATCCTGGGATTCTGTGAAGTGAATTCTGGGCATGAAAAAACCTCCCCAAACCCCAAAAACCTTCAGGTTTTTTTTGGGTTCTGCCAAGGGACATCTCCCTGCTGAGCTCCCAGCCAGGGAACTGTCTGGAGGCAGCAGCAGCAGCCAGGAATTCCCAAATAGAATTCCCAAATATAGAATTCCCAAATAGAATTCCCAAATATAGAATTCCCAAATAGAATTCCCATCTGCAGAGCTGGCTCTGTCAGAGGGGCTGAGCAACCCACTGAAATTAAGGAAAGGGCTTTTCCTGATTCAATTAATTTGAGCTCCCGACCAGGAACAATCATAAATCTCCTCGTGGTCTCTGTGAATTCACCATCTCCTGACTGATAACACTTAAATTTGATTTTCCTCTTTTCTTTTTGAGGCTGTTTTTTAATGAATTTAGACAAAAAAACCCATCAGCTTTCCACAGAGGACACGGTGCAGTCGGGCCCTGCGAGGGAGGTTTGCAGTTATACAGTGAATAAAACGGATAAAACATTCAATAATGATGTAAAAATCCAACTCTAGGAAGCTTTTGTGGGCATCAAATCCATTAAAAACGTTCACAACCTCATGGAAAATGTTGCTGTTCTGGAAAACATGGATGTGGAAGATCAGGAAACTTCGATTTCCTTCAGTTTTGGGCCCTGGAAGAACAGAGAGGCTCTGGATCCTCAGCAACCTCCACCCCACAAGAATGTGGGGTTTTGGGTTGTTTTCTTTCTTTCCAAAGACACTCTGCCTACACTGTCAGAAAAAAAATGAAACTAGAGGAATGTGAGGATGAAACTTCATTTTTTTTCCCAAGTAGTTCCTTCAGGAAAAGGGAATTTCCGCCGTGGAAAGGAGAGGTCACCGATTTCCCCTTCAAGATCCCTCCTCAGTCAGTTGTTTCAATGCACAAAAGTCAATTTAAAAGTTCTTTTTTTTTTTTTCAAGAAGTGCACTTTCTGAGGGAGTGGTATGCACTGTGTTTTAATTTTTTAAGAGGATTTTATGAGTGTCTAAAGTTTTATGTTCCTGGATGGATGGATGGATGATGTTTATGTGTCTTTTCCACACAGAGAAGAACCTGCAGCCCACAAAGGATGAATTAAAGCTGAAATATAAAAACTGCAACAAATTTAAAAAATAATTCCCTTCTTTCAGACACTGATTTTAGGTATTACTTGCCTAAAAAAAAAAAAAAGCTACAAATTCTTGGACAGAAACACAGAAAGTTGTTGGTGTCCCTTTCCCAAACACGGAGGGACAAAACTCAGCTGGGTGTGGATAAACCTGAATTGTTGCTGCTAAAAGTGTATTTATATCATAACTTTGACTGGAATATAGACCTAAAAATAGGTTTAAAATTTAAGATTAAATCACCTGCACCCCTTTAGCAACCCTGCTGGACTGGCCAGTGTCCCCAGTGTGCTCCAGGCCTCGTTTCTGCCTCATCAACCCCCCTCCGGAGGATCAATATTTGGACTTAATATTCAGTGTATTGCACAAAACAGCTTCTGCTCCCGGATTCCACCTTAAGGAGGTGGGTTTTTTTCCGTGGTGAATCCATGGAAAGCCACATTTGAGCCCCAGGAGAAGTTGTTTTGTGCTCACAACAATCTCTCTGTTCTTCCCTCGGGGTGGATTGAACGGGCTGAACTTCGCAGCCCGAAAAAAAAATCAGATTTCTTCCTCTACACTCGATTCCAGGCTGGGAATTTCACCTTCCCATCTCCTCCAGGTTGCCAGGGGATTTGTCCCAGGCACTTCTCAGATCCCAGAACTACTCTGGTTTTCTGTTTTTTTGGGGTTTTTTTTTCATGGAGGATCATCCAGATTTGGGACCGTCCGAGAAATTTTCATCCCAAATCCCAAGGAAGACACCAGGAATTAAAACTGGGCTGCTGCTGCTGTATATTCCAGTGGGATCTAATCCAAGTTTTTTCTGTACAGTACTGTGTAAATGTGAGTGGATATTTAGAGCTTCCCTCATGGCACTTTTTCCATCCCATTTTTTGGCCAGCACCTGGATGAGAGACCCCGGTGGGAAAAGGTTTTAAAAGTGATAAATCCTCTTTTTTTTTTTTATTTTTAGAGCTCTAGGGATTAAAAACCACGGGAGTGAAGGAAAGGCAGGTGGGAATAACCTGCCAGGGGGTGAAAAGGGGGACAGAAAAGTGGCTCTGAACACACAAGCACATGTTTTTTTCTCTTTTGTGGTCCCTGATTTCCTGGCAGGCAGAAATGCAGCACGTTACTGGTAAAAGTGAATTTTCCGACTCACCATGGCAAGAAACCACAGTTCCACAGTTTCAGGTTGTTTTTAGTTTTCCTTTCCAGTGGGTCCTTTCAGCCCAAACCGACCTGTAAAAAAAAACAACCCAAACAAACCAACAAAAGGTGTGAAATGTCATTTTTCTACAGTGTTTGTAATTAGGTGGTTGGTGGTAGCAGACCTAGATCTCTGTTCAATATGTACTCAGATTTTTTTTTTTGCTTTGTATTATTCCATAAAAATCTGTGGATATTCAATTAAAATGAGACTAATCCTTCAGCAAAACTGCATCCCCCTCTCTTTTATTTTTTTCTTTTTCTGTTTTTTTTTTTTTTTTTTGTCAGTAGTTTTTATTTAGACTTTGGCTCCATGTGGAAAATATGATGGAAATTTTTTCCTTTGGATGCTGCTCCCTGGAAGAAAGGCACTCAAAGTCCTCCCTGGAAATTCTGACACTGCAAAATTAACATTTCAAAGTGGTTTTTTTTTTTAATGAAAATAACTTCTATTCTGGAGGATGATCTTTCCCAGATTCCTTCAGCTTTAGCAAAGAGTCATGGAAAAAATTGCTTTCCTCGGGTTTCCATCAACTCCACTCATCTCAAGGTTTTTTTTTTAATCACACTTTATTTTTACATCTGCTTTTATAATCCAATTAGGAACGTGATTGGGAATTAAATCAGAATTATAATTAAATTACAACACCAAACAAATACAAAAAAAAACCAACTCAAAGCTGCTTAAACAGAAAAAAAATCCAAATCCCAATAAACTTTTTTATTCAATATAAATTTTTATATTTTTAATATAAAATTTATATATTTATAAAATTTATATATTTATAAAAATTATATATTTATAAAATTTATATATTTATAAAAATAATTTTATATTAATTTTATATTAAATTATTTTACAAAAATAATGAAGTATTTAGAGGAAGGTGCTAGAGCTGCTTAAGTGGGTTTAGATAAGTTATTACCACATGTCAATTAATGAATTGAAAATATGAATATACAGGTCTCCCTATTGCAATTTTCTATTCTTCTGTACATTCTGCTGCACTTTTATGTTACTCTTTACATTCATCAGACTTTAAAAGCCAAAAAAAGATCATCCTGGGAAACAGGGAAGGCCTTTCAGGATGAGTTGGGCACTCACCTCACTCCACTCTACAAGTGATAAATATATTTATATTTATTTATATTCCTTTTATCCAGGCTGGTGGCACCTGGGATTAAGACCAACAAAATGTCAGGTTAATTTTCCAGATGTTTTTTCCTATTCCACCCATGGAATTTTCGTGCCTCATTTCATTTTAATTTGCTGCCTGAAACCCACCCAGATTTCCCGCTGCCTTTCTGGATCTCACATTTGCTTCCTCACCAGCTCTAATTTTAAGGCAGGAAAACTTGAAAAAAAAATAAGAAAAATTATCACCACAGCGAGGTAAAAATAGTTTTTAAAAGCCTGGTTTGTTTTTTCCTCCAAAGCAGAAAAATCCCTTCCTGTTTCGACCTTGGAGCGACAAATCAGTGAGTGACAAATCAGTGTTTTCCCACCCCCTCAGTGCTGGAATCTCTCCTGTCACACGAGTTGTGAATTAAACTGTCATCCAAGTGGGAATCTCTTCACCCACGTGCAGGTTCTTCCCTTCACTGAGGCTCCTGAATGAAATTATATTCAAGATTGTGCTAATTATGGCACAGAATATTCCCAGAGTATTCCCAGAGTGGCTGATCCTGATCCCTCACAAACAGGAGCCAAAGATTCCCCGTTTAAGACAATTAGAATTTCCCTCCTAAACAATTAAATTCCATGTTAGGGGGGTGAGATCCCACCCTGTTTTATCAACTTAAAAATGAGATATTGAGCCTAAAATTAGTTTAGTGGATGACAAGAGATGATTTCACCTGCCTTGGGAGGGGATGAATCACTCTGTGGTGAGGTTTCTCCTTCCTCACTGCTCTGGGAATATCCAGTTTTACACCACACACCCCCCCATCCTTTGGGATTCACCCCTGAAAAAGTGAATCACACCCCAGGGGAGGAAAACAAAGGGATAACACGAGTGGAAAAGAGAAAGTGCTGGAACATCCCTTCCCTTCCCAACACACACTTTGATCCCTCACTTTGTCACCTTGGGTTAATTCCTGGGTGATGGGGGGACTTGCTGTTGATTTGAGCTTTTGTTGGACAATCCCACGGGCTCCAAAGCTCTGGGTTTCCCTGAGTCACCCCAGGCTGGAGATTAATCAGGGAATGCTGCTGGAAAGCCGAGTTTGGAGAAGAGATTTGAGGTAGGAGAGGAAGCCAACACATTCCAGTCGTGGCTTTTCAGGCCCTCACGGAACATCCACCCCAGAAAAGTCCAGTCTTTGGACAGAATAATGCCCAAATGTGAGGTGTAAGAGGAAGATTTTGTACCTGGAATGGCAAGGAAAGAGAAATTACAGGTGATTCTTGCACCACACCGACCCATTTCGACATTGTTTTCGTTCCTTGAAGGCCAAAATGTTTCAGTTCCCTGAATTGTTGTGTTCAGACTGTTTTTAGTACTTGGAGCTGCAGTACAAACAAATCAAGGTTAGTCATTAATGGTTCTATCACCATGAACCCTGGCCTAAATTCCAAATATTTATTTATTTATTTATTTATTTATTTAGTAACCCCTTCTCCTGTGGAGAGATCCCACCCCCCAAAAATCCACCAGGATGGTCTGGCAGGGGTTGGGATGGAGCAGGAAACAGGGAGGAAGGATTGGGAAGAAGCTGGGAAGGAGTTCTAAGGATGTGGAAAAAGCAGAAAATTATTGGTAACATTTAGAATTGGTAGAAAAGGTGTAAAAGTGATAATACATCCAGGAATTCACCTCAGGTGGGTGAGAAAAAGGAATCCTGTGGTTTCCTTTCCTCTCCCCGAGCCCAGAGGAATTATTTCCTCTCTTGAGGCTCCTTTTTTTTTTGAGCTCCAACAACCCAAAGGGCTTCTCCTTGGAATCCTTCCCCTCAGGAATTCCCCCTGGGACAAGGAGTGTCTCCAAAGGGGCAGGTGCAGTGGGAGGATGGTGGCCTGGGAATTCCAGAGGCACAAGGGCCAGGGAAACCTCCAACCAGGAATTTTTAACAGCAGGAGAAGGAGAAGTTCCCTCTGCTGTCTCTCTGTTCCCTCTTCAGGCTGCTTTGGAAGAGTCTGTCAAACCTACCTGGGAATATTTGGGAATGTTGGATGGATCATGTCATGCTGACAACACGTTTCCCAGCTCAGCTCCTTCCCTGTGTGTCTGCTGGGAAAAACCTCAGCACTTATTCCATGTTTTATTCCTTCTCTTCCTTCATTTTCCTGCTCCCTCTCCTCTCATCCATCAGCACAGTCCACACTGGCCAAAAGTGAGGAGTAAAATTAGACATTTCCTCTCCTGGAATATAAACCAGAGAGATAAAAAAATTGGGATTCTGTTACTCTTTAAAAATGCTTTTAATTCCTTGCTACTTTAATTTACAGCAATATAATTTAATGTCAAACATCCACAAACACATTCCAGCTGTCCAGTGACACTGGAAATTTCTGGCATCTCTGTAAAGATTTATCCCTGGAATTACTGCAATGGTTACCTGGCACCACACAGATCCCCAAATAGGGCATTTCTTGCATATTTTACCCATTTGTGCCTCTCTAGGCACGAATTCCATGACACAAAATTCCACTGGACTCGAAGGAAGGTCCTTTCTTGGAGCATCACAGTCAACGGCTCCAAAGGGCTCCAGGGAGGAAAAGTTTGGGAAGAGCAGTGTGGGGAGTGAAACACCTGTGTAATCTGATATTTTGGGAACTGAGAATCCAGAAGGATTCCTCCTTCTCTGGGTGGAATTCCTCACTAAGCACCTGGCTGCCCCTAGGCTCCACTTTTCCCTTCCCTCTCACTTCAGATTAATCTGCTCCTTTTATTCCCTTCCCCCTCTTGTTCTTCATTCAGGCTTTTCATGGAATCTTGGAATATCCTGAGTCGGAAGGAACCCACAGGGATCATCCAGTTCAACTCCACCCCTGCACAGGACACCCCAACGTTACATTAATTAACTTCCTTATTCCACTACCCAAATTTTCCTCACTGTGAGCTGCTGGAGGTTCACAAAGTGCTGCTCTCATGATGTTCTCCCATTTTTCCTTCCAATCAAAACCCACCTTCCTCCAGGGAAGGTTCAGGAACCTCCCCCAGGCCTCGGAGAAGGAGGAAAGGACAAATAACCCCAAATTTCCACGTTCCTGAGTGAAAATTACTCCCATTCCTTGCCTCTGACGAGGAACCTTGGCCTAACCTTGGGGCCATCAACAATGTCTTATGATTAGGGAGGGATTTAAACCTGGGAATTAAAGCTGCAGGAGGGATGAGTCACATTGTGCAGCAGAAAGGTCAGTGGGCACCCAGAAAACTAAACCAGCCCAGGGCAGCACCACCCCGACGGCTCCACGGCTCTTCAACTGCCTCCTGCTAAATTTAGCTCCCTTTTTTAACAAAGAAGATTAATATTCCCTTTTAGTAAACATTGGTATCCTAAAAATAACGTGGAGAGAGAGGGAACATTCCCTGTCTTTGATTCAAGCCCGGCGGTGAATGGCATTTGTGTGAGTAAAGTGTCGGGGCAGATAACGCAGCTGGGGGATAAACAAGCCCCCCAAAAAAGGAAGTTTGAGGTGCCCAAAATGTAACTCACCCCAAAAAAAAAGCGTTTCTGAACATGTGTCGTTTGCATAAGTCGTGTTTTTACGGTTTGGGGGAAGTTTGGGGTGTCTGGGGAGTGGAAGTGTCACCGTCGGTGTCACTCGGGAGGGAAGGAGCCAGGAGGCAGCTGGAATGTGAGCTCCAAAAACAGGCAGGCACATGGCACCTCCAAAGGGAACAGCCAGGAATTTGGGAATTCGAGCTATGTGGGTGAATGCCACCTCCCTCCTGGGATGTTTGGGGGCACGAGCAGGGAGAGGGGGGGAGAGCAAAAACCACGGCAAGGAGCTTAAAACCAAACTCAGGGAAAGGCAGGAACGTCCACAGGGGAGGTGAGGGGGAAAAAAGGTTGAAAAAGGAGATTTTACACCCAGGAAAAATGAGGTTTGCACTTGACAGGAATAAGATTTGGAGCGGTGAGGGGCAAAAAAGGTTTAAAAAGGAGATTTTACACCAAAAAAAGAGCTTTTGCACTGGACAGGAATGAGATTTGCAGCTGTGAGATTAAAAACAAAACCCACACCACAACAATAAAGGTGCCTCCTGTCCTTCATCCCCCCTGTTTTCAGAAGAAACAGAGTGTTATAATTCCTTGTGGAGACAGTGGGAGGATGCTCTGGAATTCCCTGATCCCAAACAGCTCCTGCCACAGTTATTGTCAGCTCTCTGCACTGGAAATCCATCGTTTCTCTTTATATTTTCCAGGGATAAAAACCCCACCTGGAATCCTGAACCGTGTTTCCCCCCTGGCAAATCCAGCTGGGCAGATCCCAAACTTCACTCCTGAGGGCAGCATGTTCCAAAAATATTTGGATTTGCAGGTCTCCAGTGCAAAGAACCGGAGCAGAGGTGACCAGAGCCCGGTGTCCCTTTAGGATTCCAACACAACTTTGGAGCCTCCTGGGGTTTTTTTTCCCCCTCTAAATGTGGCAAAATAATCCCTGGAATCTGGTTTCTTAACCCAGACACTTTCCTAGCTCAGGGATGGGAGGGAAAAGCAATAAAGGGCATCAAAATGTCGAGCAGGGAGGTGATTTTAGGTCAGTTTTTCCAGTTTTTTTTCCCAGCTGAGAGGTTGATGTGGGGACTCCCCACTGCAAATGCTGGGAAGCTTCTGGAAATGCAGCTTCCCTGGGAGTCCTGGCTCACTCCAATCCAAGAATCCAAGCTCCAGATTCCTCTGGAATGACCACTTCACCTTGGAAAAGATGGTGAAAGTGTAATTACGAGTGGTTTCTCTGGGAACAACCAATGGTCCATTAATATTGACCATAAAAAAAAAGTGGAATCACCCAGAATTAAGACTGGAAAAGCTCATTTGCTCTGTTCCCACCCACAAATTTATCAGGTTCTACCTTTAAACCCCATTTCTTTTCTTGCCTTTCACCTCTTCACTTCAAGACCTCCAGAATCTTGACCTCTGGCAGTTAATCATTTCCTAATTTGCAGCTCTTGTTTATTCATGGTCAAAGCACTGGGCCTTGGCCTCGTGGTTGAGGAGCAGAAAACAGCTTTGTAGAGAAAAATAAACCTCTTTTTTTCTATTATTTTTAGCCCAACGGGCACAGCTGGGGCAAGACAAAGGAGGGTTTAGGCCACAGACACTTTCCTCAGGTCTGAAAGAAGAAAAATTCAAGTTGAATTTAAACAATTAACAGCTTGGGAGCAGCTCTGAATAAAAGCTGATGTTGTTAAATGGTTGCATAATTTCAGGAAAAGTATCCATAAAATACTGGGGGGATTAATGAGGGGATAATGGGCCAAAGGAGGTGCCATTTGCTGCCAGAACCAAAAGGTTCTGTAGGATCCTAGAGAAACCCTATTGCTTAGGGAACATCTGAATATCTATATTTTTACAGGAAAACTTCCAAAAAATGTGCCCTCATGCCCCAAAGTGTGTCTTGATCTGGATTAGCCACAGTTTGGGAGGCTGGAGCTGTGCCCACCCTGCCCTGGGGAGGGGGCATTTTTAGGAATTAAAAACCCTTCCCTTGGACTCCTGGGGGGGAAATCCTGGATATTTGGATTTTTTACTGCAAGAGCTGAAAAGCTCAAGGCAAAACACTTCCCAGCCAGTGAGCAGGTGATGGAGGCACTACCCAAAAATCAGAATTAAAGCAGAATCTCTGCACTGCTGTGGGCACAGGGAACTCATCCCACGGTCCAGCTGCTTCCCACTCATCCCTTGGGACAAGGACACGGGGCCAGGATCAGCTCTGCAGATCCCAAAGCTGCAAAGAAACCCAACAGGACCCCAACCCCCTAAATTTTGGTGTTACTAAATTTTTTTTACAGTTACAACCCGCTGCAGGACAAAGGAACCTTTAATACTTTTACCAGTGGCCTTTTCGTCCTGTCCCAGAGTGATTTTATAAAGGCACACAATGGTTTGGGTGATTGAAGGCAAGATATTATTTAAATATTACAGAGTTCACGTCTGAGAGAGAAAAAAAAAATGCTGTTGGCAGCTCTGCCTTCACCTGGCATTGCTGAGACAATTTTAGAAGCAGCTGGAATAATTCAAATTAAAGCACGGGGTGAGAAAGTAGCTCAGGTTGATTGAACTTACCTTAAAAAGGTTTATTTTACTTAAACAAACTGTGCAGGAGGAGACTCGCTGGATACATAATATTTTAGGGCTTTGTCAAATAAATATATCTAAAATGAACTGTTCCAAAAAGTTCCTCCTAAAGAGTCAAAGGGAGACAGTCTGGGTGGATTCACTGCTCAGCCTCTCCACACTCCCAACAGCTTGACTAAAAGGAATAAAAAAAAAATAAAATTAAAATGAAGTTTCCTCCCTCCCCC